TCACGCTTTCTTAATGCACTTGTCGTCGACTCACCGATCTTTTTTGGCATCCCCGTCTTTTTCTCAACTTGCGTGCTCGGCGATCTGACTCGCTTTTTACAGTCATCTGCCACCGAACTATCGCCCCTCTTCAGCGCCGCTGCCTGTTTTTCTGCTTGCACCACTGCGCTGATTCTGGAACCAACAATCGGTACCCGAACTCGCTTCCTCAAGGCAGCTTTCACTGACTCATCCATTTCTTCCGGTACCACCACCCGTTTTTCCGTTCGCACTTCTGCACCACTGCTTGGCGACCTAACCTGCCGTTTAAACCCGCCTGTTGCCGAACTGGCGTTCTCTTTCGGCGCTGCTAATCGTTTCTCTGCTTGCACCGACATCCTCGTCTTGTTTCTCAAGCGACTGGTTATATCGTCGGCGTTTTTCGGGGTCGCTATCCGGTTCTTCACCTGCGCTTCTGAGCCAAAGGCCGTCATCCAAGTCCGTTTTCTTAATCCAGCTCTTGCTGTATCATCGTCTCTATTGGGCAACGCTCTCTTCTGATTCCCCATTCGCGCTGCGCCACCAATTCTAAAATGCACACAATAATTTTCTTCCTAAAAAAATTAGATTCAAATAAATCTTCTTCAGCACAGTCTGATCAAATTCTTTTGTAATGTTCGGACGGGCAACGAAAAGGAGGCAAGCAGCGCATTTAATCAATATTAATGAGCAGGGAGGCATTCTCTGATAAATGGCGTAAAATTATTCAGACAGAAGAAAAAACTGTGAAAAAAAAAGATGAATATTTGTGTGCAAAATAAACTAAATGGTGATGGAAATGGGAGAAGAATGCACAAAGAAGGTGAGAAGTGAAAAGTGCAAAAACCACTACTTTTGACCCACTGAGCTGCAAACATACTTCTATAAAATGGCACCTTTGCTCTCATGAGTAAGTGGAGAGAATTCGTTCCGTCAATAAATAAGATAAATAGCAGCGCGCACCAGGGTAGCCGGTGCGATCATGCGTTTTGCGCAGTTCCGTTCAGCGGACGTTTGCCTGCTAAGGATTTTCACTGCTTTGCACTTTGATCTGTACAAAAATAGTTGAAATGTTGTCCAGTTCCCAAGTTGCGGAATTTCCCACTGCCCTGTACAGTAAACAAGGAAAACTCTTTTCAGGATCAACCCCCTAATTTTCTGGCTTTTCAGTGATTTTCGACCCAAAACTTCCACGTATTCGTGCGTAAGAATTCGGCATACTTGGGAATTAAATTTGACCTTCTGTGGCCGCCCCATAGGCAGAAAACATCCTCCTGAAATCTTCAACCTCCTATTTCTTCTGGCTTCCGGATAATAATTCCTCCCACCAAAATATTCACAAGGACATTGAGATCCAGGCGCACGTGAAAGCTGAATTTGAATTTGCTGACCACACGTGGGCAGAGGGCAATAACCTAAAACGGCTCCCCAGCTTTCGTGATCCCCAAAATAACTTCCCTCATCAAAACTTTCACAGGGTCGTACGCGGTACCCAAACCTATGGGGGAGCTGAATTTAAAGTTGTGGAGTTGCATCTGAGCAGAAGACATTACCACAAAATTTCAGCTCCCTAACTTTTGTGATTTGCAAGGTAAATTTCCCCGCCAGAACTATCACGGGGCCGCACGTGATACCCGGATGCGCGAGATGGCTGAATTCAAATTTGCGGGGTTGTATATGGGCAGCACACATTACCTTAAAATTCCAGCTTCCTAGCTTTTGTGTTTCCCGAGACAATGATTTTCCCCGCCAAAACTTTGGCGGAGTCATAGGTAGCACCCATGGGTAAGTGAAGGACGAATTTAAATTTTCGGGGTCACACGCGGGCGGAGAACATTCCATCAAAATTTCAGCTTCCCAGCTTTCG